TTGTCTGTGTAATAAAACTGTTATTTGGACCCCTAAGTTGGGTTTTGCTTTACTATGGTTTGGCCCTGCTCCACTCTCTGCTCCTCTAACTTCTGTCTCATTTTTCCCTCTCCTGCTTCTGGCTCACTGCCACCTCCAACACCTGGCCTGAGCTCCTCTCTGCCTCCAAACCCCCTGTTCCTTTGCCACTGTCTTATCCCCACTGCCTTTTACTTTTCCCCTGAGCAACCAGGTTTCTGCCTCAGTTTCTTTCCTGGCTGTCTCCTCCTTGCCACCATTTACCTGCACCCCCCCTAATATCTCAGCTGTCTGCCTCAGTTTCCAGCCCCAGTCTACTTTAAGTAACCCCAAGCTTCAGTTCCTCAGCCAGCTTCTCTGTAGTTCACCGGTTCTAATCCCAATTCTGGCAACTTTCACTCCCTGCACTTTAACACTCTCTCTCTCTCACCTGAACCTTATCCCAAGTACCCCAAGCACACACATACACGCTGTACCATCCAAGTTAGGAACTTACCTGTGTGTATGTGTAGGTGGGTTGTATGGGTGTGAACTGGTGAGTGTGTTTGTGTGTATGTATATATGTCATTGTGTGTATGATATACGAATTAGTGATCTGTGTCTAACTTTTGGGGTGTATAGTGTATGTGTTTGAATTGGTGATAGGTATGCATGTGCCTAGGCTGGTTTGAATGCGTATGTGCCTGAGATGGTAGTGTGTGTGTGTATGCACCTAATTGATTTGTGTGTTGGTATATGTGCAATTGTGTCACACCCTCCTGCCTAACAGTGCAATATTGAGATCCTGAGAGTTGGTCTGACCCCACAGGGCAACATGGGTGCTGGAGGATGGGTGCACAAATAAATACAGCCTTAGTTTATGAGCTCCCAATGCACCTTCTGAATATTCCAGAAGGACCCTTCTTAGACTCTCCACTGAGCTCCCACTGTTGAGCCAGAGATAAGTCAAACTTAAAGGATTCTTCTGCATGGACTCAGTCATCAAAGGAGAAAGTAACCTATCTAGGGTTACCCTAAGTCTGGGTTTTCCTGGACATGTCCTCTTTTTTGATCCTCCGATCTCTGTCTGGGTGGGTTTTTTAAATTTAATCAAATATCTGGGATTTTGCTCAGCTCAGCTGTGCAAGGGGAGCGGGTGGCTGCTGGCACTGGGAGAAGCTGTCCAGGCACCTGGACTGCAGCCAGGAAATGCCTGGCTGCCTGGGAGCAGAGATGTCCCCAGGGTCCTAGCACCTACCAACTTCAGTTTAATTTCTCTGCCTCAGCAGAGAAGGCACTCCCGCAATCCTAGCACCTGCTGCTTTTGATCTATTCCTCTTGCAGTAGCATCTTATCAATGTGGGATGTGGGACTGCAACTTGTAGAGGGGGCTAGGTTGTAGGTAGCAGCCCACAGTGGGAAAAAGATTACAGGGGTGAGCAGCTGGGAGACAGAAGGAGCAGGGGGCTGTGGCTTGGAAGTAAGGGGCTGGAGACTGTGGGTCCAGAGTGCAGGGCAGGGTGCTGTGGGTCAGGAGTGAGGGTCACCAGCAGGGATGGAAGGAGCTGCAGGTTGGGATTAAAGGGCACCAGCATGGCCCAGGGGGACAGGGTATTGCGGGTTGGGAGTGAGGGGTACTGGCAGGGCCAGGGGTCCCTGATTCGGGAGTGAGGGGCTGCAGCAGGCCTGGGGTCTGTGGCTTGGGAGTGAGAGGCAACAGAATGGGCAGGGCCAGGGCATCATATCGCTTCCCCTCATAACCATATATCCAGCCCCGCTGCGGCAGGGATCCTCTTTTTTTTAACTGGAGATATGGTAACCCTAATCCTATACCTTGATTCAAACTTTGGAATAGTGCTCCTTATGACCTCCTTAGAGGCTGAGTTAACTAGAATATAGACAGATAACTGGTGCCTGCTGTCTGATGAGGCCCAGGAGCTCAGGATCCAAATTTGGCTCACTGGAGACAAATCTGAGGACTGAGGCTAACAGGAAGCATCCCAAGAGGAACAATGTTATGCAAGACCCTCCATCTTCTCAAATATCCTTAGTGAAGAAGTATTGCATAAGAATTTGTCCCTTGGTACCCAAGGTTCTATCATTAAGTGACACTGAATCTTCATGTGATGCTTAAAACCCCAGGGATTAGAGAATTCACTAAAATCATTTTGCTAGAACCCTTGCTTAGGGGGTGCAAAGTTTGTGTTTCTAGCTTAAAAAAAACAGAACATGACTAAAGAAATAATTTATGTTGCCAACAGGCAATTTGACTAATAATTAACCCCAATCTAGAATGTTGCGCAGGTCAGGGGCTCTGTCCCACCACCACTTTTGCCAAGAAGAAACTGAGAAGTGACTGGACACAACTGCTCGAAGAGGAATTTTAACTTTATGGACAAAATAGGAAAAACAGGGTGGGGAGATTTCGAGTGAGCAGATTACTCATTTTAATTTCCCATATGTTCAAAACAAAGGAACAACTGAACAATCTATACGAAAAAACATTTGCTCAATCATCAGCTATTATAAGTACATTTGCTTTTTGGAATTTCAGATATTTAGTGCTGCTTTTATTACATAAAACTCTTAATTTTTCACACATTTTCTCATATACAACATGCACTTTCCCCCCAAAAAGTCAAGACTTCCAAAACTGAGTTGCAAGTATTAAGCAGGGAAGCTGATTTTCTGCTTCAGAAGCACCCTGCTTTGATTGCTGCTCCACAGTGCAGCAGCATTACTATTCAGGCAGTGGAAGGAGTCAACTGACTTAATGAACCATTGTTTTTCACTCCACAGGTGTTAACGATCCTCTTTCCTTTTTAATGGCCTTGATGTTTCACTAATCAAGGTAACTTTTCTTAGGATAGTTTTGCTGTTTGCTAGCTGCTCCTATGAGCCTAAGCAGAAAAAGGAGGGAGAGTCAGTTTAAGATTAGACTGTCTCTGTTTAGTACAGCCATAAGGCTGGAAAAATCTGTTTTTCTTCATTCCACCTTTCAAAAACAAGGTATGTACTATATTCCGAGGTGTGTTGTATGCAAGAAAATATAGTAATTTTAATGTGCATGTGTGTTTTTGTATGTAAACACACACAGTTACATATTAAAATTACTATATTTTATTGCATACAACACACCTCAGAATATAATACACAATTAGTTTTTGAAAGGTAGAATAAAGAAAAAAAAGATTTTTCCCACCTTGTGTGTGTGTGTGTGTGTATCTATCTATATATATCTGTATATAGATACGCATGCACACACACACACACACACACACACACATCTTATTCCAAATAGAACTATAGAGTTATTCTGTAATAATCCTTTTAATTCATAGCTCCAAGAATACTTGGTCATCACAAATTTATTGAAGATAGGATAAAAAGTTCTTCCCACCAGAAAGAGATTCTACTGTATAGCAAAAGGTGGCTGAAGACAATGATGTTATTGGGAATATAGTGCCTAGATTTACAATATTATTTTGACACTTCTGGTTTATATTTTAGTTTACATATAAAATGCAACTCATACAAGATATTTTCTTTCATCTAAATTCCCTTTCCACTTAATTCAGTTATTATTTCCTTTTCAATTATTAGTTGTATTATTAAGGACTTAGGGTTACCATATGTCTGGGTTTTCCTGGACATCTCTTTTTTGGCCTCCTGTGCTACACCCAGGTGGGTTTTTAAAATAAGAGCAAATATCTGGGTTTTTTGCTCTTCCTCTGCTCTCCTGGGCTGACTGCTTGGGGCTGGGAGCAGTGGGCAAGGTGATTGGCTGTTGGGGGTCACGTGCTCCCCACATGGGCCCCGGCAACCCAGGTAAAGAGACACTCTGTGTGTGTGTGTGTGTGTGTGTGTGTGTGTGTGTGTGTGTGTGTGTGTGTGTGTGAGAGAGAGAGAGAGAGAGAGAGAGTGAGTGAGAGAGCGGGCACACGCACAATGCAGGAGCTGCTTGGGCAGCAGAGCTGGGGAGCAGGGGGATGAGGGTTGGGAGTGAGGGGCACTTGCAGGGCAGAGGTGGGCAGGGGCTGCGGGTCAGGAGTGAGGGGCACCGACAAGGCTGGGGGGCAGGGGCTGCAGGTTGGGAGTGAGGGGCACCGGCAACACTGGGGAGACAGGGGGCTATGGGTTGGGAGTGAAGGGAGGCTGGCAGGGCTAGGGAGCAGGGACTTAGGAGTGAGTGGTACAGGCAGGGCATGGGCATATCACTGTCCCCTCACAATCATATGCCCATCCCTGCTCTCCTCCCCTTTCTTCCCCTCCCAAGTGTCTTCTTTTTTGATGCTGGAAATATGGTAACTCTAATTAAGGCTTTTAATGTATTTCTTGTTAATTCTGGGGTCAACAAGTACCTGTAAATATGTGGAAAGAAACGATGAATCTAGTCAAAACTGTATTACATGCAGTATAAAAATTGCAAAACTTTTCTGACAATCAGAAAATGCAAAACCGAGCTTCCAAAAATGTTACCTCAGTCTCACTAAGCATCCTATAAACCTGATGTTATACATTTAATAACAGATATTAATATATTAAGCTGGTATACATTTCACAAGAAAAATACCGCATTTCTCAAATATAAGATGTTCCTGAATAATGCAACCCCTCAATTCAATATATGATTCTATATATGGAAAATTTATAAATTCCCCCATGCTGATTGGGAGAAAAACACTTCATCTCGTAGTTGAGTAAGTACAGCAGCTACACTTATGCCTTGGGCTGGAACTGTTATCAGACTTGTAACACTTGCATTTCCTTAATTTCAAAGATTTTAGAGATGCAATGAAAACATGCAGGTGTGCCTAACTGCATAAGTAATTACCTCATTAACACATGCATAGTGTAGCAAGGCAAAGCAAAGAACTGACTTGGGGACACAAATGCCATAATTGTACCCATAAGGCCCTTTCGAAATTGTCTTACATAAATGAACACTATTGAATCTCATTTATGAAGAAAGACAGTTGTTTTGTCTGTTTTTCTCATATTACCTCTGGATTTTCCTCCTTTTTCTTTTTGGTAGCAGGGGGTCCCTGAGCTGACTCTTCAGGAGATTTCTTTGTCTCCACTTTACTTTCTGTCTGGGTTTCGACTGGAGGCTGAATAATGATAACCTATAAGACAATAACAAAATCAAGAAAGGAGAGTTCACTATTTCAATAAGATTTTCCTAATACTGATCCTTCACCCTTCACTGAGGAGCTGTGAAACATCTGCTAAAAAAGCAATAAATCAAATTCAAGCGCCAACATTTTAAAAATCTGGTTGCCTATTGTTAGGTTCCCATAGCCATATTCAGGTTCTTAAAATGAAGTAGCCTGATTGTTAAAGGTGCATAGGAACTTCACTTCCTAAGGTAAAAGTGAGTTGTTACCACCTATATTTTTGAAAATGTAACACTTTTATTTAGATGCCTGAAACTGGCTGCATGTATGTCTGTGTAGCTGGTGTTATTACAGAGCTTAACCACAATGTAGCAGGGGAGTAGGTACCAGCCTGGTTTTTCTTCTGCAATTAACTACTTCCATGGTAATAGCTATACAGATGACTTACACTAGTGTAGTTTTAACCTCATTTTTTTTCTGAAGAAATTCTACACCAAATGTAACTTGAGCCCTTGGCAGATTTTACACTTAAGATGTGATTAACCAGTTAATCACGTCTCAAGTAGTAACCCAGCCACACACACATGCAATTCATGGCACAATAAAATAGGAAATAAGCCACAAATGTATTATACAAAATATGTGTAACAACTTTGTGGCTGCTTCCCATCATGCCTTAAACTCAACATGTGGCCAGAGACTCAGGAGTTTGCTGGAGCCTTGAAGGGCTCTGGGGCAAATGCTGGGAGTGCCAGTCAGCTCATTATACTCCCAGGCTCAGGAGCACACTGAAGAAAAGAGTAGTCTGAGCCATGGTTGCACCAGGCACCTGACTTGCTAAAAGAGAGCCTTGGCAGTAGGGCACAACTGGAGCTGATCCCCAATCCCACATGTGGCATGGCAGGACGCATGACTGTTGGGATCGCAGATCATATCTACGGGTTTACCCAACTTGAGGAGGCAGGCGGATGATTTTGTGGGCAAATTGCAGGGCTGGCCGCCATATTTGCAAGCTGCTTGGAAAAGGA